TCCCCCACGAATTCTGTATTAAAGATTTACTGTACAGTACCTGTAGCCCTTTGGCAATCTCGAGTGCTGTTTTGAGAATGACAGATGCTGGAAAAGGTCCCAGATCATTATCAAGTCGCTCTTCAATAATATCAAAGAGGGACTTCTCACCCCCATATTCCATGACAAGGGCTAGACCACCATCATTTGTCTGAGCCATGGCTCTGTAACCTGTGAGGAATGGACGGCAAATAATTCACCATGAAACAAAACAAGGCCTTGCAACGACAAAAGCACAAAGTTTCAACTGCGATGTTTCCTTTTCTCAGTCCCAAAGTAAAATATAATTTAGTGGTGCTTTTTCAGTTTCCCAAATCACCATGAATACAATTATATAATGATAATCTGTAAAGTTTGTATATATAAAAGATATAAAATACAGGTGTTAAATGTTAATGCTGGCAAAAAATATATATTACTTGGCTAAAATTTCGTGTGCAGCCCTTTGTCAATAAACTACTGGATAAAAGATTTCCCACAGCATACAAGTCCTAGGGGGCTATTTTACAACAATTCACCAAGTCGGTCAATGTGGATTGCTTAAGGTGGGGAGGGTCGACGTGGGAGCATAAAAGTACAGTAAAGGTAGGTATCCCTCGATGTATGAACGCTCGGTTCATGTAATTTCGCGTTAACGCAATTGACAAATTATGGACACTTTTCAATTAACGAATTCCAATTTCCACGTTAACGAAATTCCACACGGCAAACGCCATGAGATCCCTACAGTACAACAGTAACGCCTCCACATCTTTCCACGCATTCCAACATGCAGATCTTTTGAAAAAGTTAATTATTTTTGTTTTAATTTAATTATCATTAAATCGTGTTAATATTTATTGTTATTTTTCAATTGTGAAAAGTGATAAAGGTGTATATTTTAAGTTTCGGAGTAAAGTTGCAATGACTGTCCGAAACACATCCCAAATGTTTCATATTAAATTAGTGGGAAAAGCAATTTCGACTTTAAAAACATGCATACAATTATTTTTTTGTAAGTAAAGTAAATTTAGGGATTCCTGTACGGAATTTTAAAAAAAAGTAAGTTACATTAGAAAACGGAAAGAGGTGACAGTTGTTTCACATACCAACAATGTTCGGGTGGCTTAGATTCTGCAGGAGTTTCGCCTCTTCTTTCAGCCTCTTCTGATATTCTTGTATTATGCCACTTCTACACAGTGAATTTATCTTCTTTACGGCCCACGGGGAACGAGAGACACCTCGCGGAGAGCTGCCATTATCACAAAAGATTATTACAATCTATATCACCATTGTTTTTAAGTCAAAAGGTGCGTCAAACTTCACAATTAAAATTTTATAAAAATGAATTATGCCCTGTACAGGCTAAGCAAAATATGGTAGCCTAACCTCTGGATGACAGTTTATTACTTTATGTTGATACATTTTTCCCATATATAGTCAAGAGTTTATAGTTGAAATATTAATATTTTAATATTTACAGTGTATACATTTTACAAGTGAAGAATTTGGTTAAAGTACACTAAAACTTGTTTGTATAAAAAACTATGGCACTAAATCTTGAAGTTGGTCACAATACGCAGAAGCATGTCATACCACCGTACCTGGTACAAAGCTACACAAATCTGGACATCTACCTGTCCAACATCCAAGTTATTATCCTCGTGGGTATTTCGGTCAAGTCAATTTATTTACGTGACTTAACCCAACGACCCAAGTGTATGAATTCCTGCAGTCACGAAAGCTTTCAATCAAGATCCAAGTTATTGTAATACGTATGTATGTACATATGTTGAAAGTCATACATATAACAAAATAATACAATTATACGACTTATTCAAGTATAGAATGATCGAGTTCTACTTGAGTAGGCTCATTAATTTCAAATAAACCACATGTTTTGAAGTTATAAAAATATTGAAAAACGTTTAATCAAGCAATTAAAATAATCATATTCTATGGGTACAACTGATGACAAAATATATCCCTGGGCCATTCTGACAGAGGGTGTGCAGCTGTGATATTCTGAAGAAATTATTTCTCTCATGAAATTATTAATAACACAAATTGAATATTTTTGGGAAAAATAGCAAAAAATTTGAATTAAATAACTAAATATATTCACACACATGAAACCTTCAGTGCTCACCGCTTCAAGAGGTACACATTTACGCCTGTGCCATAGCCCAGTTTTTTCATAAATGGTGAAGGAGGGATCTCCATTGATGGTGCAGGTGTTCCCTTTCCTAAAATCACAACAGCAATCAGTGTTACATCTGGTTCATACAGTCAATTAAACACTCTCCTTGTATATTTATTGAGGATAAGTCTATTTAGGATGAGTCAAATTTAAATGAACGAGGGCAGATGTCAACCCTCTACTTCCAATGCAAAATTAATGAAATTGCACTGCCATTCGGGCATTTTTACATGGGAGGAAAGAAAACGTTAATAACGGCTGTTGACACAGCAAGTGTGTTTACCTCCCCTCCCTCTCAAGTGAATGCAAATTTACGACAAATTAATTTAGCTGCTGGCTATATGCCTAACTTCCCCTGTAATCCGCGACACACCACATTGGCGAGAACATTTGGTACAACCTCCGCGATGCACCGTGGATTCACCGGATCTGCGATATGGCATCTCCCCCCCCCCTCCTCCCAAAAAACAAATGCTTCTCAATTACAGAAAACCCACACGTTTCTCTGCCTGTAGAATTTGTATGGAAAACCCAGTGAGCACAACGGCAACCCTGACTTCACCTGCATCATGCAAGGACTTCACACGCGGATTCTTCTTCGGGGTCTGAAACAACACCTCCATGCCAGGAGATTCTGCACCACAATTCACAACGACAACAAGCGAGTATTATTAATACGTGAATAGTCGTATCTCGCTTAACGAGCGTTCTTTCTACGAGAATGCGCTCTGACGAGCGATTTGAATTTAGACCAATTTGTTCGCAAAACGGGCAACATGTTCACATAGCGAGCGGTGACTGATCGATCGAATGCGTTCTGTGGCAGCCCGCAGCTGTTTGTTTACGAGCTCTCCTATGCCGAGTGAGCACGTGTTTCATAGTCTGAGGGCAGGTACCTGCAAGCACCGTAGTTCTTCATGTGTGGCAAGTGTTACATTTGATGTTTTATTACTTTAAAATAACAATTTGTATTTCTCAAGTTAAAAAAATAGTTCAAGCGTGGAACATTTTTGGGCTGAAACGTAGCTCAGCTTTGAAAATGAGAAAAGGATGTTTCGTTTGGCGAGTTTTCGCTCGCCGAGAAATGTTCGCGTAACGTATCTCGCTCGTTAAGCGAGACACGCCTGTAACAGTGGACAAATATAATCGGCAGTATCAAGAGTGAGCAAGAATATCAATACTTCGTGAACGTTGCGTGAACAATGACAATTACTGAACAACAATGCGTAAACGAGGGGGCAATTAGTAAACAATAACGAGTAAAAATCTCGACTTAAATCTTTCGTGACTGCAGGAATTCATATTCTTTGGGTCTTTCGGTAAAGTCACGTAGATATATATCTACGTGTCAAGATTTTCACGTAGATAGGTTTAAAAAAATGTTTTAACTCCGACGTTTCGATCACAACACAAGCGGTCGTCTTCAGGAAAAATAAGACGATCGCTTGTATTGCGATCGAAACGTCAGGAGTTTTTGTAATTTTCTTTGAACCTATTTACGTGACTTTACCGAAAGACCTAAGAATAATAACGAGTAAGTTTAACGCGTCGGCTTTCGCGACCAATATGCATAACACAGAGGTTTTTTTTGGGTGGTGGCGGGTTTAAGGACACATTTATATTTACGTGATCTGACCCCCCCCCCCCCAAAAAAAAAAAACCTGTATTATGAATAACGAGTAACAACCCATAACCAACAATCACCCGCAACGCGCTCAATCTTGGAAGTTGTTGAGTTTGTTAAGCGCTTTGGATGGGCGGCCACCATGCACAACGGGGAGTTATTATAGGTTACGTGGCGCTCTGAATATTAAAAGTTAACTCTACTACAATGTTCCTCGCCTTCTCTAAGACCGCGCTGACCGACGTAGTGAAGAACGATCAAAGGGTCCCACAGCATTCGGTGTTTGCCACTTGCCCCCCCGACGTCCGACACGGCGTGGTGAAGCCCTCATCCAGCAGTGGATCGCCCCCAAGGGCCGTCGTACATACGCAGCGACGGATGAGTCCCGTAACGACCGACATTTTATAGACACTTGAACATCCAGTTCAAATATAACCCCCCCCCCCCCATAAAAAACCCCTCTTCTATTATGGCAGGCAAATCCAATGGGGTTATTTAGAACGACGGGGCGACTCATCGCTGAGCGATCTCGCCTCCGACGGCGACGTTCGCGCTCCTCTCTCTGCGTTGCAGGTGGGCAAATGGGGGTGCAGCGCACGCTACTTACGTTTCGGCGTAGTTGTCGAACGTCGGCTGGTATTGCTGCGGCGGTAATCTGTAACGTTGGAGGAGTTATCGTCGTCGTTGTTGTATGTTTGTTGATGTGTTGGTTTTACAATGGCCGCAAAAGCGAGCGCCAAACTCCCGCGCTTTTCGACGCCGCGCGTTGCACGACGGGAAGTTTTATTTCGTTTTTTGTTTCACTCCCCCCCCCTTCTATCTTATTTTTATTCTCGAAATTTTAGCTGTTTCAAACGAGACGCGCGAGGGAGATCACTCGATTAATCGCGAACCGATTTTTTGTTTGTTAAAGAAATCGGCGAGTGGCTTTTGTGGATTGCGTAATGACGTCAGCACGTAACGTTCGCGGTGGGACGACGTCGCGGGAATGACGTCATCGCGAAACGTGGTTTGAATGTGGACGGTGACGTCATCCAGCAGTGTATAGAACATGGCTGTACACGACACGTGGTGTGTGTGTGGGGGGGGGGTGCATCGAGGGTGATCAATCGAGTGTCGAGTTTGCCGCTGGCTCGCCGATCGACTGGCTCGGTGAGCGGCTGAGCTGACCTGGCTCGCCCGGTTCCGCGTCCACGTGGTTTATATTTTAACGTCGGCTGAGAATCTCCACTCTTAACGTCAAATATATACACACACACACGTGCGTACGTACTTACACACAGCCACACATTTATAGACGACACGGACACAAACTAACGCCGTAAAAGCGGGACACGCCGCAGCCCGTCCTACCGTGATGGTGAAGAGCAAGAACAGAGGTGCGTTTATGAAGTGTAGTTGTTTGTCGTGCTGCGTAGGCCTCTGTGCACCCTGCGATCCTCATAGCGCAGCGGCTGAAACACGTAATAATAGCGAACCACTGTTTTCTTTAAGTCGCTTAATATTTAAGCGTTGAAATGGAAGAGTAATGTGTTTTACATTTGAGCCGAAGCTAACGGGACACATTCCTGGTGATTTTGGTCATGATGTGCTTTTACATTTTGAATGATGTAACTCTAGTGTATTTAACTATCGTTTTATATAGCGCCTTATGATAATTACCATCTCAAAGCACTTTAACAAGGTCGTAACAATGCGAGTGAGGTACACCAATCAGTAACGTTACGGTAACAATAGAAACGCCGACCTACACATGTAGAAACTTTTTTTTTAGTTTCGGAAAATAAGCGCCTAAACAATGCAGGTTGGTGTTTTTACGCTAGAGGCAATTTTAATCCTAATAATGATCCTAGGAAGCCGGAAATACAGAATCAGAACATTGATACTGGAGGAATCCGAGGAGCTATGAAGCTCTTTTTCACAGATGTCCCGTTGGGGCAGATCAGAAAGTCACAACAACAAACAATACAAAAGTACGATAGGAGTGCAACGTATAGCAAAAGGTAAACAAATCATTTTAATAACATATATGAAACTAAACTTTTATCTTACCAGGTAAAGCCCACAGCTATTAGCATCTTTTACATTTAATAACTGACTAGAAAGGACATTGAGATGAGAGATGTGTAATACAATGTTACGTGGGTAGTAGTGGATTACAAATGTAATGGAAAGCGAGAGAGGAGAAGACATGCGACTTTAAATTACACTAAAAGCCAGAGAGGGTAGTGGCCTCTAACAATGGAAATGACTTGCAGAGAAGAGGTGCATTATAGCTGTTTGAGCATCTCCCAAGTGTAGATCTTTTAGGGATAAGACGACTAAGCGAATTAGAATTAGAGGATTTGTTTTTATTCATATTCAATGCAATAACTTGTCATCCTTGAATGGTCTTACAGCGATGTGATATTTTTCACCTTAAATATAAACCCAGAAAAATAAAAACAAGTCACCAATGTATATGTCGTATCCTGTAAAACGCCACGCAAACTGTGTGAGCTGTGTTCTCTGAGGTCGAACTCGGAGTGTGTTGCTTACACATGCTGCGTGAAAATTTTGGTCTGGAAAGCCAATAGACTGGTAGACTAAAATATCATTTTATCTTTTCCACTTTTCTGACAGGCGGTGGAGCGAGCCATGCAGAGCTCATGGTGATGACCATCACAGACATCATCAATCAACTACTGGAGGCACACGAACACAAGAAGGATGTAAACCTAAACAGGTGAAGCACTGCAGCTTCATTTATAAATTCGTGCACTAGAGGTCACGTGAAAGAGCTAACTGATATATACTTCCATGGGCCATTCTCTAATACAACGGATTCCACTGCTTTGCAAGAGATTGGAATATATTTTTTCGTCTCATGACAAATTGCTGATAACAAAGTTGGTGTACAATTGCAGAAACATTATTTGGTTTATAAAGCATCTGGTAAGGAAAAGCAACATAGTAATCATCCTGATTTGAAGCTTTCGTGACTGCAGGAATCCATACTCTTTGGTTCTTTCGGTAAAGTCACGTAGGTAGAAATAAAATCAATCACGACGTTTCGATCGAAACACAAGCGGTCGTCCTCAGGCGGAAAAAATATAGGTAAAGCCCACAGCAATTAGCATCTTTCATATTATTTTCCTGAAATAAAAAATATTTTTTTCCACCTGAGGACGACCGCTTGTGTTGCGATCGAAACGTTATTTATTTTATTTAAACATAGTAATGTGCGTAAAGATGAACTTTTTTACCAGTGAGTCTTGCCTTATTGGATATGAGACAAATCTTCTAAAGTGACAAAATAAGTGTTTGCTATGTACGTGTCCGATGTATCCTCTGGACACTCTTGCAAACGAGATTGTCCACCTCGACGGACTGTTTACGTAACATATTTTAATAAATAAAATAAAATATGCATGTTACAGCGTCACAGCAGACAAGATGTGGATCAGTGAACAAGACAGAAACATAAAGCTATAATGGTCGGTGGTTGAGACTGACAATGGAATGACAGTCAAAGGAGCATGTCCAGTGAGGATTTAGAGTAATGACATCAGCTCATACTTAGGTGCAAGTTGGTTTGTCGCATTAAAGAACCGTCAGGGAGTGCAACAGCTCAGGGAGGCTTTCATTCTGCAGTAAATGATTATGGCTGATGATAACGGTGATGAAAAACATCTACATTTGGCCACATCTCAACACAACATAATTGTCAGTGCTGTGTACAGTGGAGCTTTGCCTAAGTGGTCAAAGCCTATTTCAAGTTTCACGCAATTTTGTGTTGGTCATTACCTGCACATTTACATGGGAGCACACGCATTGAAATGTTTCCGTTTTGCTCACACAGTCTAAAGACGAAGGCGGCTGCCAAATATGGGCTTCCATCCCAGCCAAAGCTTGTCGACATCATCGCCGCAGTGCCGCCGCAGCACAGGAAAGTCCTCGTGCCCAAACTGAAGGCCAAACCCATCCGCACGGCCAGCGGGGTACGTGAGCAGGGCTCAACCACATGGACAATGTGCCGCCCACATTTCATTCTCTTTCTACATCGGCAGTTTTCTGTATTGCCTCTGCTTGCAGCAGGGCATCTGTCAATTCTTTCCCAGAGTCTCTTAAGTAGCCCAAGATGTGTGAAGACAGAGTTTACATTTGATGCTTCAGCTGTGTTTTGTGGGAAATGTGACAAGCAAGTTGAGTTTTGTTCACGTTTCTCTGTTATCAGATTGCAGTGGTTGCAGTCATGTGCAAGCCACACAGGTGTCCCCACATCAACTTCACGGGAAACATCTGCGTGTGAGTAATCTGCGCTGATTTTATTCTCTCCGCCCCCGTGTAACTTCAGATTGTTTGCGCCACGATTAATAGATTGTGTTAATTGTGGAGACCTTGCATGTGAATCACATGTTGGCAGATCGTCATATTCTAGATTTAAAGCTTTCGTCTCGTCATTTAAAGCTTTCGTCTCGTCCCTTCACCTGATGAAGGCCGCTTGTGTTGTGGCCGAAACGTCGTGATTTTTTGTTATTTTATTTTCACCTACGTGACTTTACTCAATAGAACCAAAGAGTATAGATCGTCATATGTTGATATAGAATGATTTAATGCTGATGGATTGCTCCATTTTAGCGGTAATGGTAAAAACGCAACTAGCTTAAATGGCTATGGCAGCTTATACATTTACCCATTTATCTGTGTTTTTCCTCAGCTATTGCCCAGGAGGCCCAGACTCAGACTTTGAATATTCAACCCAGTCATACACAGGCTATGAGGTAAGGTTGTTGGGAAGTAAACAAAATAATTAAATAGACTTAACCTGATTCAGACTAAGGTTGCATAGCAACTATGTTCGTTAGCCAAATCATAATTTAGTTTTCGTTGTCAAAAAGGCCTAAATGCAATAACATTTTAAGGAAACTTTAACTTTTATTGCCTTTCAGTGTTTTTATTTATCCTGGAAAGCATAACATAATCCTTTTCAGGGGAGTCCTGCATTGGGATATTTGGCCAGTTCCATTAAACACATTCCTGCGGAGGGGGCTGGTAGGAACGTTGGCTGCTCGGTCAGTGGCCAGGGTCAACGGCGGCACCACGTGGTGTATTCCGCAAATATGCCCGACTGTGAGGGCAGGCACAAGCCGGCGTGAGTAGGTTAAACGTTGAGTTTTATAAGGGCACCACGGGGTGACCAGCCCCTCCCACCCAGCCCCACCCCACCCCCCACCCAGCCCCACCCAGGCCCACCCAGCCCCTCCCCACCCTCCCCTCCCCACCCAGCCCCTCCCTACCCTCCCCTCTCCACCCAGCCCCACCCCTCCCATTTTTTATATCCGAATGTCCGGATACACGTGGACAGACATCCACAGACATACACAATTAATCCCCTGCCTCCTGTGAGAATTAATCCCGGTTGGACTTCCAGTCCACTACGTTTCCTACCAGTAATGCCCACTAGGAGCGCATTTGTTATATATCCGGGTGTCCGGATACACGTGGACAGCCATCAACAGACACACACAATTAATCCCCTGCCTCCTGTGATAATCCCGGTTGGGCTTCCAGTCCATATAAGGGCACCACGGGGTGACCAGCCCCATCCCACCCAGCCCCACCCCTCCCACCCCCCACCCAGCCCCTCCCCACCCTCCCCTCCCCACCCAGCTCCTCCCTACCCTCCCCTCTCCACCCAGCCCCACCCCTCCCACGTGGACAGACATCCACAGACATACACAATTAATCCCCTGCCTCCTGTTAATTAATCCCGGTTGGGCTTCCAGTCCACTACGTTTCCTACCAGTAATATATCAGCATGTGGGAGGAAACATGAGTTCCCAGAGAAAATGGAAATAATATTCAATCTCTCCACAGATATATTCAAGAAATCTTTGACTGTATTGTTGTCGCCTGCCCACCTCAGAATAAAAGCCAATAACACCTAGTAACCCCAGGCAGCCCCCCATCCAAGTACTAACCAGATTTAACCATACCTAGTCTGTAATACTTTGAGATCTTGGATGTTGAGGTTGATTTGGTAAGACACAACCTCGGTTCTAAAAGCTAAACATTTGTGTTTACTTCCTCCAGCCGACATCCATGAGGGCCATCAGAGCTCGCTATGACCCTTACTTGCAGACCCGCCACCGTGTGGACCAGGTGAGGCATTTGGTTCCTTAAATCATTGATTTTGAATTGCACCAGCTAATAGTGCACAACTTTCATCTAAAATCAGTATTAAATTGATTTAAAAACATTTCGTTATACGCTAAAATGCATTAACCTTAAAATTCCTCTTTACTGTATGCGAACATAGTGGCACTACTCACTGAATGGGGAAACTTGTAACGTATGCTGGATTAAAGGTGGGGTTTTTTCAGATATAAACTTGTTAGTTGAAAATAATTAAAACATTTATCGTTATTATTATGAATATTATTGTACCCTCTTTTCATGTAAAAATGTATGTAAATTTTGCTGTCTTAACCCAGTCCTATGGAAATGTGATGTAAGGCTCAAAAATGTCTCGCTTTAATTAGTCAATTTGTGTTTCGCTCGCACACATGTGTTGTGGTTGCAGTTAAAGCAGCTGGGCCACAACGTGGATAAGGTGGAGTTCATTGTCATGGGTGGCACATTCATGGCCCTGTCGGAGGAGTACAGGGACTACTTCATCCGCAATCTTCACGACGCTCTCTCGGGGCACTCATCCAACAGTGTGGCTGAAGCAGTCAGGTGCGTGTCCGTGTGAGTGGGCTTCCCTGCTTAAATAATTTATGTTGGCCACAAAGTGGTGGGAAATTTACATTTGTATTACAAGGATTTGTCTCCATCAGACAACCACCTTCACCTTGACAGAGTTGAACACACCATCTCCCAATGAGTTACATTTGTAGCCTTAAAATTGTGAGATTGAGACGAGCATCCTGAACACAGCACCACCCCTCCAGTTTAAACTGCTCAGTTGTGGATTGATAATTGCTGTTAGTAATAGACATTTGATTTTTCTGTCACTTGTACTTCTACATGGAAATCATTTTCATTCAGTCAGGGATATGTCACCTTTAGTCCACATATTACAAACATACGGTTTATATCAAAACTAAGCAGCGAGTGGCTTTTGTGGATTGCGTAATGACGTCAGCACGTAACGTTCGCAGTGGGACGACGTCGCGGGAATGACGTCATCGCGAAACAGGTTGAATGAAGGCGGTGATGTCATCCAGCAGTGGATAGAACATGTCTGTACACGACACGTGGTGTGTGTGTGGTGGGGGGGGGTGAATCGAGGGTGGATCTTTACTCTTGACATGCAGAAATTAAAATTAACAGCACGTAGTTTTTTTTTTTATAAAGTCCTAAGATAAACTTTTTGGTCAATAGCAACAAAGGGGAGTCTGCCATAGGACAGCGCCGCACAGTGGGGGTGTACGGAAGCAATTATTAGCATCCTACGCATCGAGCATGAAGCCAGCACGTGCACCCATTCAGAGACGAATACGTCATAATAACACCGCTTCTACGATCTAACAATAATTAGTTTAAACAAAGGCAATGCGTATGTTATTCTTTTGTGTGGAAGTACTTTTACTTCCAGTGTATATAATAATTGTGGGTTTCTGTTCAAATTTCCTCAGACAGACCAGAGCATATTTTTAGCTCTTTCGGTAAAGTCACGTTGAAGGGAAATAATAAAATATATGTAAAACAATAAAAATTCTCACGACGTTTCGACCATAACACAAACGGTCATCATCAGGTGTGAAAAACCAACGTTTGTGTTATGGTCGAAACGTGAGAATTTTTATTGTTTTATATATATTTTATTATTTTATTGTTTCCCTTCAACGTGACTTTACCGAAAGAGCTAAGAATATGAATTACTGCATTCACGAAAGCTTTAAATCAAGACCAGAACATGTTTGGGATTCTTACGATGCAGTATACGTGCCAAAGACTCCAACAGCCAAACTAAAGCAACTTGTCAAAGTCTCTTAAGAGTAAGGGGAGAAGTGTCCCACGATATTCAGTGTGGCTGTCTGCTTATTTTCTTTAATTGGTTAAAAGGGTTGGCTGAAAGAAGAAGAAAGCCAAATGGGATATTTGTTTTTGAAAAGGAAAGCTAAAGATAAACACAAAAATGCAACATTTAAATAAAAAAATGAATATTTTTTGCTCTTCTGCTCACCATCACTTTTAATGCATAATGTTTTTTTGTATATATATGCATAATTGTAGAATTTGGAAAAATGTCAGGAGCTTTGAATGGCATATTTCCTACTTAGTAGTGCTATTTCTCTTGTTTGGCGTTTAAATTGATCGAGTGTTTCAGTCCGGCGTTTATAAAAGTCTTAATGTAAAGAAAGCCTGCCCTCATGAATTCTATAGAAATGTATTAACACATCTTAGCTGCCCTCTGTAGATACTCGGAGAGGAGCAAGACCAAGTGCATCGGCATCACGATAGAGACGCGGCCAGACTACTGCCTGAAGAGGCACTTGAGCGACATGCTCGGCTACGGTTGCACTCGCCTCGAGATCGGTGTGCAGAGTGTGTACGAGGACGTGGCTCGCGACACCAACAGGTGCATTCGCTGCGTCCCAAAGGCCGTTCAGGATCCTCATTACCCTTCGCTTGTTCATGTGGATTTAAATCACTGTGACCTTGTATCATTATTTAAGGCCCTTCGTCAGTTCACTACGAGATGAAGGTTAATTTATTTGTTTTCATTTCTTTTATAGCTTTTTTACCTACGTGACTTTACCGAAAACAGCAAAGAGTATAGATGAAGGTCCCAATTCATGTCAATCATGGGAGTTATTTGGCCCATACTTAACCATATTGGTTTGGATTGTTCCTGGGTGGGGTGGGCAGGATCAAATACAGTGCAAATATTGCTCACCGCTGATGTTAGCCATGGCCACGGAATCTTAACTTGCATTACTGGGTTCATAGCGCAATGCGCTAACCACTCTGCCATCACTCGAAACCCTGCTGACATGAGGAATTAATCAAATTTGTTTTTAATTATTTGGTAAAGTTACATACACACCAAGAGCAACAACCAACATACATTTTGACCTTTCCACGAGTGAGCAAAGTGGTCCGTGCAATACCTGGACATTACTCTTTACGACGAATCCTATTGAGTCAGCCAAATGTTTTGTGGTGCTTGTTTTTTGTTTTATATTTTTACTCATTTTATACGGTGTTGTTTATACTCAACAGAGGCCACACAGTGAAGGCGGTGTGCGAATCCTTCCATATGTCCAAGGACGCAGGTTTTAAGGTGGTGTCACATATGATGCCAGACTTGCCCAACGTGGGCATGGAGAGAGACCTCGAGCAGTTCATAGTAAGTGTTGTATCGATCGCTGAAGAAAATTCCCTCCTAAAAGAAGTGAACACATGACTCCCAAAAGAAAAAAATATGTACAGTGTACCTTTTCAATGTGTTACCCTAGGCGACAGGGATGCAATTCTTCGCACTACTGAACAAAGTAATAATACAAAATCATTACTAGTCTAAATATGTTTTCCAGTGGCACTAGCCTTGTGAAACTAAGTCCCTAATGAAACAATTTCAACAATATCTCGGTCTGGTGAAACTCAAAACACCATTCCACAAAACAGAAGCCATTAAAAAGAAAATCATACGAAATGGAAAATAAGAACAGAAGGCAACATTGTGGTTACGTGCTTCACGTAGAGGAGACAATTGTACACCAAGTTCTGCGTGTTTGGTAGACAGTGTTAAGTGCGAGGGTTGGAACATGGTCTTATCCATTGAATATTTACATAATATAAATGTCCACTTTTCTGTACAGTGTATTTAGATGCAATTACATTTTGTATATTCACAATTAATGGTAGACGTGGTTTGGTATATAGGGTATTAAGCATTCTGCGATGTGGCAGTTACAGACCTATTTTAGTAAGTGTCAGCCACTTAATATTGGTCATATTTAAAATGTACATTTACCCTCTTTTACGAAGAAGAGAATTGCCGTTTTTACATATTTTAAAAACGAAAGCAAAAAAAATCCGCTTTTACAGTTGTGATGAGATAGGAAATCAGGCCACACATAACCAGTAAGCATGTGACGATGCATCAATTAAATATTTATAATCGCTTCTTATGATAACATTCATTAAAATATGCCTATAAAAATCTATTCACGTTTTATGAAAATAATTTTTAGATTTTTTGCGAATGGAGCAAACCAAATTGTGCAAACAAGACCAACATTTTTTTTTAATACAAAAGTGTTTAACAAATAGAATATTCTAGAATTTAATCATAACCTCAAACAATGATAAGCCTTCCAATGCAGTGGATGCAGGTGTGAAACATTACATGTCGAACAATCAGTGTGCCACGGTAATTCACTCTGCCATGCGTCCTTGCAAAACCTAATCTATCTTGGAATACTAGCAAACCTATAATCTTAGTTTTTTCGGTAAAGTCACGTTGAAGGGAAACAACAAAATAATAAAATATATAAAAAACAATAAAAAATTCTCACGACGTTTCGACCATTACTCAAACGGTTGTCTTCAGGTGTGAAGACGACGTTTCGACCATAACTCAAACGGTCGTCTTCAGGTGTGAATACGACCGTTTGAGTTATGGTCGAAACGTCGTGAGAATTTTTTATTGTTTTATATATATTTTATTCTTTTGTTGTTTCCCTTCAACGTGGTGACTTTACCGAAAAAACTAAGAATATGAATTACTGCAGTCACGAAAGCTTTAAATCAAAATTTACTAGCAAACCTGTGAAGCAAAATTTTAACCCCGCTCCGCCACCACCTTGTCCATGTTGGTCACAGGAGTTTTTTGAGAACCCAGCATTTCGGCCAGACGGCCTTAAGCTGTACCCGACGCTGGTGATCCGTGGCACGGGCCTTTACGAGCTGTGGAAGACGGGCCGCTACAAGAGCTATACGCCCAGTGGCCTGGTCGACCTGGTGGCTCGCATCCTCGCCCTGGTGCCACCCTGGACCCGTGTCTACCGTGTGCAAAGGTATGGGCTTCTTTCGAGCAGTTACGGCACAAGGGCTTGATCTTCACGGCGCAGTCCCTTTGTGCAATGGCACGGGTTCCTTTGGCGGTGCAGCTTTGTCAGTATGGGCTGTGGTGCTAGAAATTAAATAAGGTCCTCTTGTCCAATTTCACCAATCTTTGTAGTTGTGTGCCTGGGCCCCCCTTTAGCCTATGAGGGAATTGCATTGCCTGCATGCACGATAGCTACACCACCAGTGGTCACCCATGTTTATTGGATGGGACTTTTATTGTAGGTCACGTGTAGGGTCTGCATTTATGGGACATCGCTTAAAATTGTCAAACCGAGCTTCAATTGAGCTTTTTTCCACGACTAAACCCAAACGACGCATCTTGGAATGTAATGTTCTCATCGAGCCTGCATGACGTGTTCCACCATGCAGGGACATCCCCATGCCACTGGTGAGCTCTGGAGTGGAGCATGGGAACCTGCGTGAGTTGGCCTTGGCACGAATGAAGGACCTTGGGACAGAGGTGTGTATGTGTGTGGGGGCCTTGATTCTTTCATGTACATATCCATAAACTTGCCAAGTACCCTCCATCATCCTATCCAACATCAGGTTACCCTTGCAAACAAGATCATGTTTTCCACATTTGTTTTAATGGGTTGTTTCTGTCTGCTTGTTAAATATTGGATGGCTTGGAACCATTCTTCCAATGAGCACATTTGCATTTAGTCTTGATAATTGATTAATTTCCAGTGTTTAACAATGGGCCATAACATTGCCTTCAGATGGCCTACTTTTATAATTATTATTTTGCAATCTTTTAGTCTCCACAATCCCTACTATATTGGTCAATTTTATATTCCTCGGACAGTAATTTGTAATGGATTTTGTATTAAAACCTGTAAACCCTGGACTCTGCGTCAATAGCCCTGACCTGCAGCACAATAATCTTAAAAAAATATTTACAGTAATATTAGTTTTTTCTAATTTCATTGATCATCGTTCACCATGAATCACGGCGAGCTCCTTCAATCGGCCAGTCCCTTGGCAATGGATTTGCCCATTATAGATTGCTTACGTGTGATGTTATTTTTAATAACTAATCTGATTTATTAGGTCTTGCTTTTGTGTTTGAAATGCAGTGGGACAATCAATTCGCATGTAAGTAGAAACGAATTACAATTGAATTAAACAATACAGATGTCCACTCACGAACCATTAATTGTGTAATTTTAGTGCCGCGATGTCAGAACAAGAGAGGTTGGCATTCAGGAGATTCATCACAAAGTGAAGCCATATGAGGTAATCCCATCACTGGGGTGGCATGCAACATTCATAATTTAGATGTGATTACCTAATGATCGCGATAAATGTCATGTTTCATTGTCAGTCTTAAACATTATTAACCTTGTAATTTACAACTAGTATTATTGATAGTACACAAACAAATGTGTCTACCCGTTACACCACTTGTAGTATAGTATTTGCCATCAGTATGGCTTCTAGTCGTGTCTGCTCTTGACACGTCATACATTCAGTGGGTCAGAAGCCCATGGCAAGAGCACACTTTGCGTCTGTGCAGGTGGAGCTGATCCGGCGTGACTACGTGGCTAACGGCGGCTGGGAGACGTTCCTGGCGTACGAGGACCCGCGCCAGGACGTGCTCGTGGGGCTGCTGCGTCTTCGTCGCTGCTCGCCCGACAGCTTCCGACCCGAGCTGAAGGGCGGCGTGTCCATCGTGCGTGAGCTGCACGTCTACGGCAGCGTGGTGCCCGTGAGCGCGCGCGATCCCACCAAGTTCCAGCACCAGGTAGTGGTGATGAGCTCTTCGCACCGCCTTAAGTTGAAGGATGTGTCTCCGTAACTCTAGATGTGTTTTTGGGTTGTGACGTGTGTTATTTGGTTTAGTGTCCACCGTTTCTCTTCGCGTGCCATGAGCTTCGGGAAGCGAGTTCAGTTCACGGTACAACTCGAAAACACATCGGAGAGCTACACAGCACAACTGTGAAACCCTACATTTTGCATTTTGCTCTGCAGTCAACAAGCCTTGAAAATATTACAAAGACTTGTTATATACAAAACTTGACACTGGCAATGTTTCAAGTTATTATACGAGTAATTTTACACATGATCATATTACAATTATATACTGTTATATACTGTACTAGCCGTCTAAGGACGGGTGTATTGCAGTAAATCTGAAACTTGCAAGCGAAAAGCAGACCGCGACGTGATATTTATTGCATCCATTCGTGTGCAATTTGTAAGGCCGCGGTCACACAGACTTACTCTATGTAAAGGTTATAATCCCTTTTCATCATGTTGTCCTTTTTACTTCTGTCTCAATAGCGTTACGGAGATCGCGTGACGTGAGGGTTCTGCCTTTGTAGTGAGGGTTATAAGTTGACGCTGAGGAGGGGGGGAGGAGGCGCCTCGTCTCCCCATGTGGAGTGACATCACCCGCTAATTATTATTAATGGAGGGGTGGTGTCCATTTGGAGGCGTGGTGATGCCCTCTAGCAGTGAATGACTAAAGGGATATACATGTCCATACATGTTTACTCTGTGTTTGGACTTGTGTTAACATGTGGCGAATTATATCTTGCAGGGATTTGGGATGCTGCTCATGGAAGAGGCAGAGAGAATAGCAAAGGATGAGCATGGTGCAAATAAAATAGCTGTCATTTCAGGTAATGTGCCAAACACCATCAAGTTCCATGACCATCACCCTAATATCTGATGTGCACATTCCAAATCGGTGACAAAGTCAATTCCCTTATACTTGTACAGAGGCTTCATTTATTCACTGTTTAAACCAAGGAATTATTTTACTTGCTGTCTGCGCAGGAATTGGTACACGAGACTACTACCGCAAGATTGGCTACGAGTTGGAAGGGCCTTACATGGTGAAGAAACTGGACTGATTTGGGGGAAAATACCAAGCCAAGCTGAATAGATGGATGCCAACAATTGTTCCCTTAGGTTGTGTGGTACCATCACCTGCAAATGTCATAATCTGTGAACGCGTTTGGCTCCGTGCACATGCAAGCGAGAAGGCAAAAGCTCCCAACTGTTGTTGCCGCTCATTATATCTGAGGTGCTACCTTTACCTATTTGCTTGCCTGTTTGTTCAGTACCCATAACCCACGGTTCCATTCCCTCCCCACCAGCATTGGAAGCGTATGACCAAGTCACCCAGAATGTGCCCAATCTCTTCAGATCTTGAGTAGCTAAACAAGGGTTGAACATGTATAGTGCTGGGATTTCTGGCCGCCAAGCACAATGTGTGGGCATAGGCTGTGGAGCTACGTGGGGGGCAGCAGAAGGTGGTGCAGCAAGATTATTGTCATACGGCACTACCAGGCTCCCCCGTCTATTCCCAACCTTGATATTAAACAGTGTGTTGCAATATGATCAAATACACCTGCGACCCGCATGCCATCAGGAGGCCCTCATCCAGCAATGGAGTGACAAAAAGGCTGTACATAAAGATATGTCACCAGGCATATCACGGACCGCTTGTAATTCATTCTTTGAGCTGAACTAGACGGTTTTTGGTCCATGAGTCCAGACCAGATATTTCACTTGTCGATAGCACCTTAGGTGGAAGAACATTCGTGGTTACAATTTAACGTGGCCAATTACAGTGAATTATGTGATAGCTACTTTAAACGTGTGTTTTCAAGTAATCCATTCTTCGTAAACTTTTACATAAATTGTTACTGCAAAGGTTTTGCTGCCTTAGGTGGTACTAATTTCTGCTCTAGCCCATGAACTACATGATGTGCATATTACTCACCTACAGCTGTTTTCAGGCAGGTGCCGAGTCATTTGGTGCTTTTTTAAATGTATCACTTAAGTTCCACATTCTCTGTTCACACGTTTGTGTGCAGCATGTCTGAAATAGCACCTCAGTGTTTTTGCGCGTTTGACAGGTATTGTATTATAGCATGAAAAACGTATTTATTAATGGAAATATTTTTTTTGCGTTTGTAAACATGTTCCTTGTACTTATTGCAGATTATTAAGCTTAGCTGTTTCATGTACCGAGGGTGTACATTGTAAAAATGTTTTAAACAATTTGCTTTAAATAATGTTATCAGAATAAAATGCTGAAAAATATTAACCCAGTGCTACTGTCGTACAGGTGTGCTTACAATCACAATCCTAATTGGTCCAGAAGATTAAATATTGTATGAGCCCCTAGAAATCGTTAGCCCCATCCATATGGTAGGGTGTGAATGTGGAGGCAAATGGGAGTTGTCACAGAGACAAGTAAGATCAATAATAAGCCACTTCATGATTATCGTAATCATTACCCACATTTAAAACGTCTGCTATGTACATCCGAAATTGTAAAACTGGCTAGATGTGCATCGATACGTCCCTGGCTTTACTCTTGTGATAGGATACTCCAGCATGGAGATTCCCATGGAAAGTCTGTTACACAAGAGGGCTGAGGCCATCGAGAATCCTGGATCAGGCCCCAGTACAGCATATGCCCCACAATATGCCCCCACATATTTTTAGGAGACAGGGTACAAAAGTACGACAACAAACATTCCAAAAGAAAACTGAGCAGACTGTCTCCATATAGTTGTCATAAAAAAGTATTACACAACACATCAGCTGCGAGTACATTTCAGCAGCATTCAAAATCTATGGGACCGATTTCGACAGTCTCATCAGCAGTCAAGCTTGCTTGAATCAATATTTATGAGCTGCCGATCTTACAGGCAAAAACCCTCTCTAAGATCTGGCATGCCTAAAGGTAGCATAACCTATTGTATGTAAGGGTAAATAGGAAATCATCAAACTCCTTGACCTTCATGAGCCCATAATTGTTTAAGTCCGGGACTTACTACTCACCCAATACCGTGAATCTCATTAATGTGTACACATGTCAGTCTACTTTATCCACCTGTTGTTTCCGGATCATACAGGATCGCTAATTGTTCTTGCTGCCATAGTTTGTACAATCACAAGGAACATTGAAAAGGGTGGCACTTGTACAAACCCTTAACACTGGGGTCTATACACAAGCTTATTTGCTTTACGTATGTAGATACACAAAACTGCAGTATATGCGTAGAGTTCCAACAGTTCTAAAGGGCTGTTTATTAAACCTATCACATTTCCAGGATCTATCTTCCGAGTCACCAAGGGGGCCCCTCGGTGGCGAGATGTTAACTATTTCGCCTGGTATGCAGGAGTCCCTGGGTTTGCATGTTCTCCCCGTGCTCGTGGATTTTTCTCCGTGTCCTCTGGTTTTTCACTCTACATTTAGAAACATGCGTTTCAAGAATGTGGCTGCTATACATTTCCACATGATCAGCCACATCGTTGCGCTATCATTTGTGGCCAGGTCGCCTCTGAAAAAGAGCTAAAAGCTCAGTGGGCCTTGGTAAAATTTTAAAAATAGTTTAGCCCTTGTGATGCTCATGTAAATGTTATTTATGAAATGTATTTTAAATGCATTAATTTATATTAAATGCTTTTGATAACTACAATTTAAAAAAAAAACATTGAATATTCTCCATTTATCCCATTAAAGTACTGTGTGTGCTAAATTACCTTGCACTAAAGTGCAGGCAACCCTGCCCATCAGATATATAAATTTTCATGAAAACTTAAATCTTTAATTACAATTTTTTGCTAACCATACGGACGTATCTATTATATTATTTTCGGTAGGTGGTAATGTGATACCTGCTTGTTTTGCTTACGCAAGGGTCTTCTGCGCAACAATATAATCCAACCTTGAGCTTGTGGAAATGCACTCTTTGCTAGTAGCAACACCTCGAAACGCCGAGGGAGATTTGGAAGGACCCCCGGCTTACGATTCCGGAATCAATGCATAGCCCCTGATGGTGAATCAGATGTCTCTCCCATTTTTCCGAGGGTTGCTTAGAACTGTGCAGTATTGTTCATTGCAAGGCCCACTGGCCACTGGTGGCCTTTAGTGCGGCCCCTAACGTCTGGCCCTCACACTGATGTCGTATCGCTGAAATTAGCGAAGAACACTTGCTGATAGCGTGTTTTTTTTCTTCTTCTTCAGGGATACTTGCAACAATGAATGGCGCTTCGTCATTCAGAACTGTAGACACTTCTGTAGACTTCGAAGCCTCCTCTTCAGTGCAGTTCACAGCTCTTTGTTGGCAGTCTCAAATTGACGCACGACAGCCTCCCAGTCCCCGTCAGCTGCTACGATTTTTTATTATCTTGGTCCGAGTCGACGTAACGTGTTGGTCATCACTCCGTCATGCCCATCGGTTGGGGGAATATTCCGCTGGTTTTAGGATGGCTAAATAGGTGGTAGGGGGCGCTGTGTCCATTCGTGTTGTCTTTGCTTTCTACTCTGGCGGTGGTTGGGTCCCTGTCTATTGACCTCGTTTCCATGACAACTCTAGTGGCGGTTTGCTACCCCGGTTGTTGACCTCGTTTCCATGACAACTGGTGGCGGTTGGTTCCCTGGTTGTTGAACTCGTTTCCATAACGACTTTGGCGGCGGTTGGTTCCCTGTCTATTGACCATGTTTCCATGACAACTCTAGTGGTGGTTTGGTACCCTGGTTGTTGACCTCGTTTCCATGACAACTGGTGGGGGTTGGTTCCCTGTCTGTTGACCTCGTTTCCATGACAACTGGTGGCGGTTGGTTTCCTGGTTGTTGACCTCGTTTCCATGACGACAGGTGGCGGTTGGTTCCCTGGTTGTTGACCTCGTTGCCATGACGACTCTGGTGGCGGTTGGTCCAGCTGCATCTACGGCAACCCTTGCAGGAGGACCCTTTTATTGTACACGTTGCCATTATGCTGCCAGGTTCCCCGTTCTCAAATGATCGTGTCGGCGAACCTGTCTGCTGCTGCTGAGCCCACTGTGTTGAACGCTCCTCCCAGGCGATGCTCTTGTTGTGTTTGGTCTTGGGACGTTTGTCCCTCCAGATACTCCAACAAGTATACGTGGTTGGATAAAACAACATGTGGAGCCAAGAGTGCAGCTGCTTGAGATGATGGCTCCATCGGTGCCTCCTCTGGTACAAGTAGTCGAGGAGGTTGAACCTCTTGTCACGAACAATAGGCCACTTCGTTGAACTTTCATTTGTGATAGCCAGGTCGCTTCTGAATAAAAAAAAATGCTCAGTGGGTTTTACCTGGTAAGATAAAAAAAAATAGCTTAGGTTTCTTTTTTATGTTGTTTAAATCATTTGTTTACCTTTCCTATACTTTGCACTCCTATTGTGTGTTTTGTATTGTTTGTTATTGTAACGTTCTGACCCCGTGACCCCACTAAACATCTGTGAAAAATCTTTTATAGCTCATCGGATGTATTCTGGAAGAGCCTGTGAGAGCCAGTGGTTATCCTTCGTTGTAGTACAGAGGCTGCTTGATTCTCACCCAAAGGCTGTGGAGATTTGAGGTCGTTCTTGTGCCAGATCTTCTTCTTGATGCGAATGGCTGGCTGGTGGCGTTGCTCCAGCAGTCATCTGTTGCACCAACATGTTGACTGCGTCAGTCAGTCGATCCATTCTGCTCTCCAGTCTGGAAACTCGGGGGATCAGGCGACCTTGGCTCCTTGGTGTCACGGTGAGCACCCCCTGAGCTTGAGATTCTTCCTTTGCAGCCACAGGAGAAGCTGGTCCGGCCGGGATGTCTTTCCATTGCGATGTCTCTGGGTTTGCCCTCTTCTGAAAACGTTTAGAGCATTTTCCACTCTTCTTGCTCCAGATGAAACTCTCTGAGGATGTTTTTCTTGCACCTTAAATTTAGACATGTCGCTGTGTTATCCCACCGCTGTTTATGAAGCCTATAAAACATATACAGCACCTTGCCTTCGGAGTCACAAGGCATAAACCCCCTGCTAACGGCTCCCCACCCCTTTGAATAAGCCCCCTTCCCTTTTAAACCACCACCCAACAGCTGATCTCACGCGCCTTTTAATTAAGATGCGTGAAGAAAGACGGTCACTGCATAGCACGTTTCAGAAGCGCTTCTGGGGGCGTCTGAAAAGTCCTTCCGATATTAGAAAGCAACTGGGAGCTATGGCACTTTTAAATCTAGATTGAAAACTCATTTCTTCAGAGCTGCTGTTTTTGTGTTTAGTTTGTTGTCCTTCCCCGGGACCTCCGATTAGCACGGTTGGCTGCGTACGATGCGAAAGAAGTTCAGCATACAACCACACCATTTTGCCCTCTTCCCTTTAAGCCGTCACCCAACACCTGATCTCATGTCCAATCTAATTTATGCTGCCAGTTCCCGCTCCTAACCCTGACTTCTTTTTTGTTGGGATGAATAAATCCGCGTGCGCCCTGCGTCTCTCTCAAGACTGCCCGACGCGAAGTGACTGCTTATTTTCATTTTCCCATACGCACAGTGATCTCTGCTTGGCTATGCTGTACTACTATAGAGCCAACACAAACGATAGTAGAAACCATTTGTGCAATATTTAATACCACAAAACGATGTTTTCGTTACATTGTCCTTTTTCTGCATTTGTCCAATTTTCATGTCCGTACCATGCCATGTGATGACGTATCTATTCGAATTCTCATCAAGCAGTGCATCACCCCGTGTTATAGGACAGCCTGTGAAATTATATTTCATATAACTACTTCTAAGATCCTTAAAGCGATTTTTTTCTCTTGTATACATTAGGGGGGTTCACGTTTTCAAAAGTTCTGCTATCGAGATATGTTTGTCACATGGCAGTAAAGCCCAATTCATTTAAAAATTATCAGCGAGCTTTCATCCATATTAAATGAGATGGGCTCTTATAACTAGGTTGAAACCATCAGCTAAACCTTCATTCAGGTGGCTACTCAGATTCATGCTTGGGATCTCATCGGTGTTGGTTCAGTTCTCCCATCCCTGAGCCACCCAGGCACGCCAGGAAAATAATTTTCAAATATGTATTCAACAAATCATACACCACTTTGTAGCTTTTTGCGGTGTTGCGCAGCTCTTCAAGATGTATTTTCGGGCTGTACTGCATGCTATTCAGCACGATGTCCGATTTTACTATCCACGTGTCTCCCAACAGGTGGAGTGAAACATCAGACATCATGCCGAGCAACTTGGGGTACAACCTGAAAATACAACGGAGAGCTACTTTATCACTTAAATAGT